TGTACGAACGCCAGCAAACACATAGCTGCAGAAGCAACAGGCAATGACAGGCACAACAGGCAGCGGCTGCACGGACCAGATGAGAGACCCGACCGGAGGGAAGTGCAGCAGACAAGAAGTGCACAGGAACCTGAAGCGTAATTACAGGGCAGAGGGAGCGGAGGCTTTGTGAGAAGGAGGGAAGCCGAAACAACGGCGCATTGAGACAAAGAAATTTACTTTTGGAGGGAAAGAAAGCTCAGTTGGGAATCCGCCGTCAGTTCGAGCCACGCATGCCGAGTCATATGAGAAAAGTGCAACAAGCAGGGTTCTGGTGGACATTAGCGACTAGAAAGAAAACTAACATAGATCAAAGCAGTAGAACTTCCAGCAGGCATCCACACAAAAGCCACCAAGAGGCAGCGCCTCTGGTTTGGTTTAGTGCTCTACTTCCGGAGCAGAAATAGATCTCACGCCGTGTGAATAATGAAGAGAATGCAGCCAATACAAATAGAAATAAGTCAAAGGTTTGACTTTCAATAGTGTGCAACTGGTGTAGATGTTTGTATGTTTGTACGTTGACAGGCAGCACACACTCAGCTGGGATCGCTGGCTTTGTTCTGGGTTTGCAAAGATTTTTTTGTTGTTGTCAGTGTGGGTGTATCCAACTGTGACAAGCTGCTTGGCTCCGCTCGGCCCCTCGTAAATCCTGGCGTGTCCCTCAGGAACGGAGCTGCGCTCAAAACGGCTGAGCGCCCCGTCTTAGCCTCTTAGACTTAGTTACTGATTTGTAGAGACGCACCGAGGGCCCAGACAAAACAAAGGAGCGGTCACATGGGTTCACCCGCTTAGCTCGTCGTTACGTTTGCAGGGATCAGACGCTTCACGTGTGAACGAGTTCAGAGAGGTGGGAGCATTAGTGTTGATTATTTTGTCTCCTCCCTCCTTCATGAAGTTCATTTAAATTTAGAGTTGAGTAATACTCAAGATACATAACAGCACATGGAACACAGGAATGGGATTTTCTATAAAGATGGTTAAACCCGAGCCGCGTACGATTCACAACTCCCACGCGGTGCCTTTTCCAAACTCGTTTGTCAGAGTAACCATTTCCAGTTGAATACGTTTGACGTAATCATAAGGAGCCACTTCTGGTTGCGATGCTGGTGCCGGGGGTCCCGCCGAGGCGCTTTTCATCAGTCTGTGTGTGACAACAGCCAAAGTGAGATTAGTTGTGCAAGTTGTTGCCTCAGACTCTTCCTCTTCAGGTTCCGCTGCGGTCTGAATACAACCGATGAGCTGCTCACACCATTTGTGTTACTTTGCTGTTAGCGCCATTAGTGTTGCTAGTTTTATTTTCATTGGCCCAGTCCTGAGATGACAGTCTGTAGACAACAACATTAAGAAAATAAATGTTTTGAGGCATAAAATCAGACATGTCAAAATAATTCTGAACTAGTTATATTCCATTTATAATCAATGTAAAGAACAGTTTGATATTACAGTTTCTCTTTTGTTTTGAGACGCACGCAGAAACCTCCTAGACCCTATCGGATAATGTCCAAAGCCTACGATAAGGCCATTTGTCTTCATTTGGGACGCAAGATGCAGCCTCTGTTGTCACTGTGCCGCTTCCCCTTTCCTGCTCGCTGACGGGCCAACGGCCAACGGCTGCTCTGTTGTGACAACGGGGGAAGCTTCCAGACACCCTCGTAACAGCTCGGCTCGTCAGTGGGAGATTTAGCACGCTAAACTTTGGGGGTCTGGAGGGACGCTAATGCCCGGGGGGAGGGGTGGAGGGGGGTGATTGACACAGGGAAGGACGCCGGAGGTCGGTCGGAGCTCGGACCGAAGGTCCCCTGTGAACCGTCCACAACCTTTTGCCTCATTCATGGTTATTCATTAGGTTATGGAAATAGAGAGAGGTGATGATAGTAGCATCTCTGGAAGGGCACAGTGTCGCGTTGTGTTGTGGGTCACCTCATGAAACGGGCCATTGTTTAAAAAAAAGAGATCAAAAGTCATTTTTTGGCTGGAATATGAACTGATAACTTGAAATGAATTTCATGCTGCAGGTGCTTCATTATAGGACCTTCAAGAATCCCAGAGATAAAATACTCTCATGGTTGAAGCTGGATATATCCAATGAATGTTTTCTAACTCATATCAACCAACCGTACAGTGAAATATAATGTATATGTTGTTGCCATTAATTGCAAATCATCGAGCTTACATTTGTCTATAATCATTCCTAAATGATTAAAGCAATGTATGTGATCAATAGAGCCTTCTTTAAATGCCCATGCCTGTGGTGGCTGAGATGGAAACCCTACCTATACAGAACTTCTTCAAAAAAATGTTAATAGTCCTTGGATGAAACGTGCCGTTTGAAGACTCTTCGGTCAGAATTGTAAGTAGCTGTAACTGCTTCCAGATGGGATAATCGGACCCCAATAATGGAGCACGATCAGGCCAAATGAAACATGCCAGAGTACCTCAAATATTTAGCTGTTTTTCCCCCAAAACATCACTCAGTGAGCCTATAGTCGGTTTGCATTAACAGCAGGACTTTTGTGGGAATCTAAAGCTGGATCCAATTATGTTTTCAAAGGTTGCATAGCATATTTCTCTAAACGTAACTGTAGCAGCCGGCTTCAAAGCGCCGAGGACATTATTTACTTAAAGTGCGAGTGTTAGCGTTAGCTGACCTGAATGTCTAAGAAGATAAAGCGGGAAGTCTTTTGGACCTACTGAGCCTAAATCTTCTTCAGCATATTTTGGCATATTCCCGTTTGTTGGACTCAATAAAAAATGTTTTGACCAATCGTTACGGGGGTGTGAAAAATTGATCCGAGAATGCTACATCACATTTAATGTAATGCTACAATTAACTCATTTAAGGCCTCTAATGCTCTCTCGTGACAAATGTGTTATTTGAATTTATTTGTTTGTGTAAGTCTGTCAGCCTGCAATTGACTGGCAACCAGTGCAGTGTTTACCCCCCCTCTGGAATTTACTTAAGCCCCCCAACCCCTCTGCGACCATCTGAGGATGAGCGCTATAGGAAATATTTACATATTATTGTTATTTGTATGAAAAGGTCTTGGATGTTAATGGATTTTTAATTGCATATGTTGACTATTGAATACAAATCATTTTTGGTTTATGTTTATAAAGGGCCGTATACCTTTTAGACCGGGACAAGTGTTTCCAATTCCTGTGAAAACTGAATCCGGGCCTCTCTCGGTGCTCATCAGCTGCCCATTCCTTCAGTATGTGCAGGAGGGTTGCTCATAATTATGATGGATTAGACCCAGCTCTTATGTCTGCGCACTGCAATTGTTGTGCAGATGCTGCAGATGTGACATGCATTAATAATTTAGGGAGGTAGCCAGAAATCAATATTCTACTGGAATCTATATGCTTTTGGCAGAGTGAACACAGGGTAAGCAAAAATGAAGCCATATGCTCCGTGTGCTGTTTAACCTTCGGAGGAGATCTTGGTTTCCATTCATCACCTTTATTGCATCATTAAATGACTTTGTTGGTAGACCTACGGATCCCAAGGAATGCAAATTAAAAGTTAGCTTCTCTTTGGACAACTTATCTATATCAGGACAAATTAGGTGAAACGACATTACATTTACTTAAATTAATAGGTGAAAGATTTAACAAAAGTCTTACTTTGAGATTTTTACGTTTATCCTTTGAATCAACTCCATTTTTTTTTTTTTAATCAAAGAGTTGTAAAAACAAAGCATGGAAGTTCATCATGATGATTAAGTTAGTGTAGGAAACACTTGTATGGTTGACTTTCCGTATAACTCCATGGCACCAACCTCACCGCGCTGAGGTTTAACCCTGATAACAAAGGCCTCAAACTTGAGTAGTATTTTTGCGTATTTGACACAGCAATGTGTTCGGGGTGAGGAGACCACGACTCAACAGCTGAGGAGCAGCCAGCTCGTCCTCCCATCTACCATCTGGGACGTTAACCTTTCATCCTACTACCTTCAATCAACTAGACTTGGGTTTAGTTTAATGTCTTCTGTCCTCCGATAATATACCCAATGAACCAAATGCAAAGAAAGGTGTTCTTTGTGAAAGTGAACTTAGGTCAGAATCCAGATAAAAGGATTCAGGATCAGTCTGATGCATGTCTGTGTGAGCAAGAAGCCTCTGGTTCACATGTTGACTACAGTGTTTGGTTCATTTACTATGTTTGCTAGTTTGCTATTGTCTTTTACCATTTCGGGTGCAATGACGTTTGATATAATTCTGAGAACAATCTCATTATGTTCGGGGAATGAACACAAATGTCATGTTGGCAACCAAAACGTCATTTTCAAAACAACGTGGTCAAAGCACTTCCCTAATATCCCTCCAGTTATTTACCCTGCAAAACAGTTGTAAAGGTGACAGCAAGCGTTTGGCCCATTTGTTTAGATTTACTACTTACATTCATAACACAGCAGATAGTGGGAAGGACAGGACAGGAAGTCACAGATCATCAGTTTGAGATAACGGTCCTCAAATGGAAAAAAGAACTTGCGTTTCATTCCTGATAAACGCCATTGTATTTGGCACCGCAAATAAACGTACCCGAAGGATACTTTTTGTAGAGCTGTGTATGTTAAATCGGAACTAGTTACTCAAAGTCCACTGTACAGAATTTGCCCTCTTGTTTTATTCTCTTCTAACTTTCTTACTTTCTTACTTACTATCGGCATAGATCAGGGTGAAACTAATTCTATGACAGGATTGTGTTGACAGCTGATACAAATTCAGCGCCAAGCATAAACACATTCCTCTACTGAACCCCCCCCCTCCCCTCTTATGCCGTTTTCAGATCCAAGACGACGAGTGCTAAAGTTAGACGTTTGTCTGCACAGTAAATTTGAGTCCCGACCCACAAAAACAATCCTGCGTTTGTTTTACATTGGACATTTTATTGTATTTGAAAACATAACTCTGCTTGAATAGTGATGTAACCGAATACCCCCCCTCTATTTGCCCCGCAGGACGGACAAAGGGCAGCCCTGTGGATGGACTCTGAGCAGGCCAGATGGAAACAGAACAAGCCAGACATGAGGCGGAAGAAAATCTGATATTAGCACAATTTGGCACATCTCGTAACGTCTCTAGCAAACTTCAGAATGGCGGCCAGTCATCGGAGGGAGATTCTCAGCAGATCACTGGGGATGCGAGCTGGAACCATTACAAGGCTAACTCCATGAAGAGGCACAGGGAGAACTGCGACAGTCCCGTCTCGGCCCAGGGCCTGTTTGATCAGGCGTCCCACGCCATGAACGGAGAACTGATGAACGGAGAGTTAAAGCATGCACTCGCGGAGCAGTCCCTGCTGGCCCACCAGCCCAAGAAACTCAAAGTAGAACCTGAGATTAAAAGAAATGACAACATGAGCTCTAATCTGGTGGATAGCTTCTCCGAGCTGACTAAAGCAACCGAGTTTGAAAGCAACACCTCGCAGTCACAGCTCAAATTAGACAAGAGGAATTGTAATTTTCCTAATGGTGATTTTTTCGGTCATCCCAGGAATAAACATGTCTCGATTCCGAACGGTGCTTTATCACCCCCCTCAACAATTGAAATCACTCCAGGTGATCTCTTAGAGAAAACCTTATCTCAGTATTATCCTGAGCACGTGTCAATCGCACCACAAGCATCTGGGTCACAGCTAGACGCTGTCAACGGTTCATTGGCAAATAAGCTGCCAAGTGAAGGTGCTCAATCGTCATCTCTAACCTCAGGGTTCCCCAATTCAGCTCAGAGGCCTGACCAACAGCAACAGCAGCCCGGGGCATCGGGCAGTGTTGAAGGAGGCAACAATTATAACTATGTGGTGAATGGATTCTCCCACAACTTTGACACAGACCACCAGCAGCAGCAACAACAGCATCAGCAGCGGCCACCATCTTACTCTGGTCAAGAGCTGTCCCTGGGTCAGCACCCTGGCATGATCCCGCCATCCAACACTGCCAATAACACACAACAACATCAAAATGGCCCACGGTGCTATCCAGAGGACACAAATCCTCAGGGTATATACGAGAAGGTCAACCAGGAGTTTAACCAGAACTCGTTCCTGGATCGCGATGCTCCTGGACAGGCAGCGGAGACAGGCGGATATGAATCCTTCCCCAACTCTGGGTTGCAGAAGATGGGGCACAGTGATGAACCCAGGTCTGGCCAGCATCAGCGCATTAGCACTGACAGGGGCCAGTATGGGATCCAACCCCAGACCTTCAAACACAGTGCTGGGAGCTCACATAGAGCCGACACCACGGGACCCATGGGACCCGGTCTCCAGCAGCCAAGTCAAAAAAACGGGATGGAGAACACGCCTCAGCAGAGAGCCAACTTATCGTGTTCAACTCCCCATCAGAGAGGCTGGCCAGAGCTGAACTCCTCACATTCCCAGCAGCAACTAGCAAGCGGCCAGTCGTCCCAGGCACAAGAGCCGGCGATGTGGAGGGGCTTCCCTGGTAAGTCTCAGTCCGAGCAGCAGCAGACAGCTAACCCACAGGTTCACAGCCACATGTTGGAGCCAAACCCAGGGCAAAGGTTCCAGACACAGGCAGGTTTCCCAGATAGCAGCCAGAGCTCCAACAGCTTCCAACAGCAACAGCAGGACCATCTCCCGGCCCAAACACACTGTGCTCCAGCCCAGCGCAACACTGCCTCTGAGTGGCAGCAATCAAATACGAAAGTACCTCAATTGCAGCAGCCTCCACCCCAGAAAATGCCTGAGCAGCGTAATTTCCACCCAGATCAGCAGGTAGACGGCCGCTACCACACCCAGATGCAGTCAGAGCACTTGAGCGAAGACCCTGACCTGCAGGATATACTGTCACCTGGGTTTTTACCCACGCAACAACAACAGCAGCACTGTCATCTTCCACGTCCCCTGTCCCACCCACCACAGTTTGAAGGGCAGCAACTCAAGTCCCCCGATTACAGACCTCGCAGTCAGCCTCAGCCAGGTCAGCATCAGCACCAACCCAACCAGCCTCTCAGAAACAACTCCGCTCAATCCAACGACCAACGAGTCCAGCCCGGCAACCATGAGACATTCAGTTACGACAACACAACAGACATGCAACGGCTCCAACAACATCAGCGGCAGTTTCCACCAGACTCGGGCGACAGTGGCCTCAAGCAATTTCACCCGCAGCAGCCCAACAACCCCTGCCGCCAGCCCGGCCGCGCGGACCTCTCCCAGAGCCCGACGCAGTTGCAACCTCACTCGCGAGGAGGCCCGCTGAATCAACAGGTATCCGCGCAGATGTATCCCAAAGCCGAGCAGCAACTGAAGCTATCGTGCGGTCAGTTCCAAGGGGGACCTCGACTACCTCTGGCACCCGCGGGTCCCCATGGAGACTTTCAGAGGCACGCGGCCCTGCGTATGCACCTGTTACAAAGGCAGGAGCGCCAGGGCCCTCCCCCCCACCTTCAGAGCACTATTGACCCCAAACACGGCCTGAGAGCAGTGAAAATGGAAGACGACTCCCGGTTCGAGTTGCCGTGCTCACAGCAGCAGGGGCAGCAGTTGCAGATGCGAGAGACGGGAATAGGCGGCGTGCAAATCAAGCAGGAGAATCCCCCGTCCCTGTGCGAGCAAGGCAAGAGGCCGGGAAACATCTTGGCCTCCATGGAGCAGAGCCTGAGGCAGTACCAGCTGTCACCGGTGTTTGAGAAGAAATCCCTCGTCGTCAATTCGGCAAATAAAGTCAAGGTGGAATCTTCGGGACCCGTCACGATCCTCTCAACCAACGCTGACTTGTGTGGCGCTGAATCGGCAGCAGCTGCCCCAGCCGCCATGAGTCTAAAAAGACCATACGATTCCACCCCTAAGAAGGAACATCTCCTGCAGAACTTCATGGACTCTCCTATGAAGCTGTTGGATACCCCTATTAGGAACCTCCTGGACACCCCCATTAAAACACAATATGACATTGCGTCCTGTCACTGTGTTGGTGAGTCTCATTGCGTTGGTTCTGAAAGCTGATTTGTCAGGTGGTGTGTCAATATTTATGCATGTCCCTTTATGCTATTTAGAACAAATCAGTGAGAAGGATGAAGGACCATACTACACGCACTTGGGGTCCGCGCCGACTGTTGCCGGTATTCGCGAGGGGATGGAGAAAAGGTAACCACACATTTGACTTGTTGACTTACAAATTGTGTGGTGTTATGTAACCACAGAGTACTGTTTTACTTCTGTTTACTTACATGCCTCCATTCTGCTCTGAAGGTCTGGTCTAACTGGTTCCGCCATCAGGATTGAGAAAATAGTGTACACCGGCAAGGAAGGAAAAAGTACACAAGGGTGCCCTATAGCCAAATGGGTAGGAATTATTTCTGCATATTTCATTGAAAAAGCATGCAGGTACTTGGCTCAAACATCTGCATTCCCACCATTTCCTACTCCTGTGTTTTTCCTCAGGTTATTCGTCGGTCCAGTGAGGAGGAAAAGCTACTGGTGCTGGTGCGGGAACGCAATGGTCACAAATGCGAGACGGCCTGCATCGTTGTAGTGATCCTGGTCTGGGAGGGCATCCTGCCGAGCCTGGCCGACCGCCTCTACCTCGAGCTAAGCGAAACTCTAACAAAGCACGGAGCCCACACCCAGAGACGATGCTCCATCAATGAAGAGTAAGTGACCGGGCTGCAGAACTCATGTCCGACCGTGTGGGCCACTGCAGAACTATAACAAACCAAACTTTATTTTTGGTTCCTGGTTCTTATTTTGTAGTCATTCAAGGGAAATGTAGTTATTGCTTTTCTATTTTGTACAAAATTGTTTTTTTAATTTAAAAAATCCCAGTTACTTTCTTCTTAACACTGAATTAACCTAAAATGATACATTCAATGTATTTGCTCTCCCTGTCCAGGAGGACCTGTGTATGCCAGGGGTTGAATCCGGATGCCTGTGGGGCATCTTTCTCCTTCGGCTGCTCTTGGAGCATGTACTACAATGGCTGCAAGTTTGCCCGCAGCAAAATCCCAAGAAAATTCAAGCTACTGGGAGATGATATGAAAGAAGTAGGAGCAGCACGGTTCAGTTAATATAATAAGCTGCTAATCGTTAAGTTACTTAACAACTGCTGGTTTTGGGCTTTCAGGAAGAGAAACTGGAGCACAACTTCCAAAATCTAGCAACCATATTGGGTCCCTTGTATAAAACTTTGGCACCTGACGCTTATGGAAACCAGGTGTGTATATTTAAACATTGTTCTGCTGCTCGCCTTTCAACATCTACATCTTAAAATGAATCAACGCACATAATATGAAATGTTTTCCATTGACATCCGTGGGGTGCAACCCACACACAGGAAATTCATCAACCCCCTTTGTATTGTTGAGTGACCAGAACCTCTTAATATCTTATTCAAAATGCCCCTCCCGTTCTTCCTGGACACAGGTGGAACATGAACAAAGGGCACCAGATTGTCGTCTGGGGCTGAAGGAGGGCTGTCCCTTCTCTGGGGTCACTGCCTGTCTGGACTTCTGTGCCCATGCTCACAGAGACCTCCACAACATGCAGGGTGGCAGCACTGTGGTAAGCGCGAGCTGGCAAACGGACAGTTTATCTTTCTAAGCATGTTGGATTTCTTCATTTAATGTCTGTGACACTCAGAACCAAAAGTATTGAACTCCGAACCCGTTCTTCCAGGTGTGTACGTTAACAAGTGAGGATAACCGAGTCATTGGAAAGATCCCGGAGGATGAGCAGCTTCACGTGCTGCCCCTGTACAAGGCTTCAAACACTGATGAATTTGGCAGTGAGGAGGGTCAGCAGGAGAAAATCAAGTCAGGCGCCATCCAGGTCCTCAGTGCCTTCCGCCGTCAGGTGCGCATGCTTTCAGAGCCCGCCAAGTCTTGCCGGCAAAAAAAGCTGGACGCCAAGAAGGCCGCCGCCAACAAGATCGCGATGCTGGACAACGAAAAGGCAGAGAAGGCCCTGCTGGCCAAGTCCAAAGCCGTTACTTACGAGAACCCCGCTCAGGGCCCTCCTATGGCAGGTAGGGTAACGTTTATTCCAACTCATTTCATAAATGTATTATTTCTTAGTAATGACATTTTTTTCTACTGCTATTTTCGCCTTTGTCATTTATTCATTTTTCTTTCTAGGACCTATTCAAGGTGCTATAGGATCAATCCTACAGTCAGGTCAGCCGGCGCACCCCTTAGGGGCCCATCATCAGCAACAACAGCACCAGAGCGCACTGCCCCCTTATCCTGGCTCAACGAATGTAGCCAGCTACCCCAGGTTCCCCAACCACCCGGGCTCTTTTCCAAGCACTTCCAAGCCCGGCACCATGTATCCCCCTCAGCCACCGACACCAGCCAGCCCTTACACCTCCCCTCTCCACGCACCAAACTCTTACATCAATGGAACAAATCGTCCATATCCAGGTTACCAGTGTAACGGAGGAATGCCCCTCGACAACTGCCACCCATACTATGCTTCAAACCCAAAGCACCTGGATCTGTACCGGCAGCAGCGGCCAGCACTTTACTCGGAGCAGCAGTACGGTGCGCACCAGCGCTACGAGGTCAATTATCCGCCGAGGTATGCCGAGCCGGGTTTGCAGGTGAATGGATACAACGCCTGCAGCATGAGGCCCGGTCACCCCGCGAGACCTTACGGACCGTATGGTCCCAACGGAGCCTCGGACCCCCAGTTCATGGACCCCCTCTCGAGAGCACCCTCGGCTCACGGAGGCCTTGACTACGCGGCGGCCGTGAGCAAAGGTAATCAGTTCGGAGGTTATCCAAATCCTTACTTATCTCGGAGCCCTCAGATCTTCGCCCCGGGCCAAGATCCTTTCCATATGCAAATCAAGACGGAGGCGGGCACGCCTCGCCCGCAGGTGCTTTCTGCTCCGTTAGGCGGCGGGTGCTATAACCCTGAAGCACAGTCGGGGTTAGGTCCGCCTAATGGGGGCCTCGTGGGTATCAAGCAGGAGCCTGGAACACCGCAGACCCCCACGACCCCTCAAAAGCCCGAGGTGTGGTCGGACAACGAGCACAACTTCCTGGACCCGGAGATTGGCGGCGTGGCGGTGGCGCCGAGCCACGGCTCGGTCCTCATCGAGTGCGCGAAGCGAGAGCTGCACGCCACGACGCCCGTGAAGAACCCCGACCGCACGCACCCTACGCGCATCTCCTTGGTCTTCTACCAGCACAAAAACATGAACGAGGCCAAGCACGGCTTGGCCCTGTGGGAAGCCAAGATGGCAGAGAAGGCCCGAGAGAAGGAGGAAGACGCCGAGAGGAACGGCGGCGAGGGGACGCCGAGCAAAGGCAAGAAGGGGGCGAAGCGGGAGCACATAGAGACAGAGTCCACCGGGGAGCCGCCTTACAAGCGCTTCATCCAGGCGCTGATGGAGGGGTCCTCGTCGTGCACGACAAACAGCCACGTCAACACGACTCCGTACGCCTTCACCAAGGTCACTGGGCCGTACAGTCAGTTCGCGTGAGAAGAAGCATTCGTGAAGAAGTGAAATGTGCGAAAAGGTGCTTTATTCATGACAAGGACTGCGAGCACCACTGGCCTCCTCTAAGCACTCCTGCCTGTCCGCGCCGGTTAGCATCCGCCGAGATTCAAATCACCGGTTCCCATCAGGTCCTTTCACCTCTTTAAACAATCAAGCTTTACTCGTTGCCCTGCAAAGGATGTATTTATTTCTGTTTTTGCAACTTTTTGCAAGAAACACACTGTCAACATCTCTGGTGCTTTCAGTCAGAAACGCGAGGACCTATTTGTAATGGAAACTAATTTTCGTTTTTGCGGGCTTTATTTTTCTTACAGAATTGTACTCTTGGCATAAAACACTGACTTTGTAAGTGACAACATTCACGGTGCTAAAGTGTATGCTTGTTACAATTTATTTAAATTCAAATGCCTTCACACTATGACCATAACTCACTCTACGAGTGACACCCAATGAACAGGGCACTGAAAATAGCATCACGCGATCAAATGATCAGCATCGTCATGTTTTACGGCAAGTCAGTGCTTCTTAGGGCACTTTTTGATAATGCGAGTTAAATGTTTTGGTAATCATGAAATCTGGTTATACTTACTACATCGAAAGTAATCAATTTCTCAGCATCACTGAACTTAAATTGATCAATTTATAACTGTGGATAGTTTGAGAAATCCATGAAAGATGCAAAAAGATGTTTTTAATCTCCCTTTGTGTTGGTGCTTCTCTAGATTTATACTGTAAATCGAGCCATTCTTGTGGTGCATTTCTAACATTTTGAGGAAATAATTTGTTTGTTATTTCAGTTTTTTCCAGGTTTACCTTGTTGTCACCGACTGTTTTTAATGTTCCTCGCCTTAGGTTCATTGAACAAACCTGGACTGTGAATATTTCATGTAGTTTTGTGTCTGTGGTGCTTAGGAAATCTGTTTTTCTACACTGAGGAACATGAAACAGGGTAAGCCCAGTGTCAATTTCAGAGGGCACCTGGCTTGCTGTGGGGTCTTTAATTCTTGTGATCTAAACTGTAAGATAAACAGGTAAGATTTGTACAGTAAATTAATTTCCCTTTTTCGGAATTACTGTTAGAGATTTTGTGTTGTAAAGAATGCTAACGGGCTATTTCATTGTGTTTCTTTGGGTTAAACTGATCATGAGGTGCTATCCAACCTACATACAATGTGAGACTGTTTGGACAGCAGGAAGGCTTTTAAATAATGTACAGTACAAACCTGTCATATACCTCAAAACTAGTTTGGCAATAGGTTTAAAGCCTATTTCTCTTTCTTCTTTTGTATATTGCTTTCAAGAAAATAACAGTTCAGGCCTCCAAAAGACATAACAGTTCCTTTCTTACTTTCTCCTTTCTGCTAGAAAGTATTATTTGAACTTGACTCTTTGATATTACAGTAAAATCAGGGACATTTTCAACTAATTCTGTGTTCGTCGCTCGTATTCATGTTATTTCTCTCATTCAGGTACTTTTCATTGCTTCCTGAAACTGATTCGTGTCAACTTCGAAAAGAAAAAAAGAGAGATATTTTGCGAGGATGACGATACTTTCCTGCAGTTTTTTACTCATATTTTAAGGCAATCTTTTAAAATGAATTTGAACATATATGCACTGAGTTGACTAAAGGGAAAGTATGATATTGACTCAGTATTTAGGAGACAAGACCAGGGCAGTGATTAACGTAGTTGCCCATCTTTGTGCCAGTGTATAGTTGAATTTATTTATAACCACTAAGCAATTGTATAATGATTTTTCTTCCCTGTTGATTGAATTAACCCGATATATATAGTAGAATGTCATGTTATAGTAACAATTTACCCCACACTTCAACAGATTCATTTTCTGAAAGCACTTCATTTCTTTTTCAGGAAAAAAAAATGTAATAAAAAGAATTACAAAACGTTTTATTTAAATAGATTGTAAATGTGTTTAAAAATAAATAAATTATGTCACATTGTACATACCAGAAGCCTGTAATGCAGGAATACAACTCATTCTTTGATGTTGATGTAGGTTCTTCTTGTTCTGTCAAATTGACCCACAGCTCCGCCATCAGCGATGCTCCTCGTATCTCTAGATATTCTTTCAGGTTGATCATGTTTAGATTATCCAGAAAGTCTGTAAATGTATGCTCACTGTCACGGCAACGTTCAAAGTCATAGCAGACCGTTAAGACGCTCTAGTTTCTTTTCTTTCTTTTTTTTTTTTAAACTGTTCCAGTTTTGTAAAATACTTTTGACATTTGAGAAAATGTCGGATTTTGTTGTACAGGACCCAGCTACAGTAGCAGGTTGTGGTTAAGAAAGCCAAGGCGTCTGAGATATAGCGGGTTAAAAACATAGCCATACTTGAAGATGCTTCAGAGTAGAGTCAACGTTACTTGAATGACTTTCTGGGCTGAACTGGTGCCGGTATGTGCTCGGCTCAAAAGGCTAAGCTAGCGGTTGATACGCACTTGGACTTTTTGCAGTTAGACACTAAGAGTGAAAAAAGAAAAAAAGTGCAACTTTTTGCCTGTCATTTTATTTAAGGCTTCCCTTGTTCTCCTGAAGTTTGGTATGCTACAAAAAAATGGAATTAAGGATGGGTATTAATACTGTAAGTATTGTAATGTAATGGATGCAGTTTATTATATCATTCCTGATATTGCTGAGATGTGGGTGTCTTTTTTAATAAAATTTATATTTATTTAAAGCAATTGGACTTGTTACTCCAAGTTAATACTAATATCTACATTCTTGAGCATTATGTCCACATGTTAAGTCCTGAAACGTGTGATTACAGACAAATGTGGAGAGAGAAAAGGCCACAATCACAACATACATTTCTTTATTTACCCAAACAAAGAAATTGTTTACATGTTACATACAAAACGCTTTGTTTGTGGTTGCTAGCAGGAACGGACTTAACTCTTTAAGGCAAATTAGAGCATGTTAGCGTGACTTAGCATCAGTCTTATTTTACAATGGACCCGGTGTATTGACCCAATATAATTTACAATTTAATAGAAAGGATAACATTGTTTTATTGTAATTGTTGAGGTGAAACAATGTGATGTCTGCACATTTTACTGGATAATAAACTTAGATTATGCAGCTGAGAATAAGTCCATACCAACAATAAATCTAAAAGATGTGGCCGCTTCAAGGTTTTGTTGGTTCCGTGTTGTGTTTTGGGCTTCAGACAAAATGCCACTTGTCCACTGCGCAAGAGAAGATTTAGAGGCACATCATAATTATTGAAACACATAATTCCTCAAATACACAAAGGTTTGTGCATGCTAGTCAATATTTACTTACCAGCTGGGGACACGGGATGTGTGCTGGCACACAGTGCAGGAGCCTGAGGTGTCACACGTTAAACAGGAAAATTACCAAACCGAATAGTTTCATAAGCTGTTATTGCGTTTGCTTTCATCATTGTAAAAACAGCAGCATGTGCAAGTTCTCACCGATGACACCACATCTCTGGCCTCCTCTGCACTGCATTTGAAAGGGCTTTCGTTGCAGGAGATATTTTTGCTGATCAAAAAAGTAAATAGCATTCATTATTATATATAACAATTATATATGAATACATGTCTTTACAGATACACATTGCGTGAGTTTTACCTCGAACTTACCATTCTATCCCGTGGCTATTTGTCTGCTTCTGCACTAGTGCCCTCCAGTGCTCATGGGTGGACTTAATGATCTCCACGGCAAAGTCCTATTAAGAGGGCATCATTGTTGGGTTTTTCAAAGAGCAATTAATTTGCAAAAATCCACAGAAAACAAAAACAAAAATTGACTCCGACCTCAAGAAAACAACGTCAGGTCCCATCGTTGTAATGTTTTATGTTAAAAAAAGGGTCCCTACCTTGTCTTTGAATTGTCCATTGAATCCAAACTGGTTCTCAGGCTTCCCATCGGGCACCTTGTATTTCCTAAACCAGTCGACAGTGGCCTCTAAATGACCAGGCCGGCTCTTACGGACGTCCTCTATGCCTGAGGAAAACATCCATACGTTCAGCAGAATAACAACAGCACCAACTTGCGCTGTGTTGACAGTAAAGACTGTTCTAGGTTTAATATATACAGGTTTAATATGATACATACATATGATATGTTCTAGGTTTAATATGATACACTGTCTGTACATATATTTATTTAGCTCCTGGTATATTTAGTTAGTGTTTTATTGCACTCCTTTTTTTATTTTTGTCTATTATTATTACATTTTACTTATTACTGCTGCTCTTGTCCTGTTGTTTTTTTAACATGTATCTTGTGTGCACTGCCCAGAGTTTAGGGTTTTGGTGGCATCTAGCGGTGACGCTGCAGGCTGCATTCCACAGGTTTTCATCCGCTCACGTTTCAGCAGTTTCACAAGCATGTCAGAGAACCAGGGTGGCCTAAGGGTTTCAGTTGGTAAGCCCCTTTTTTTTTTAAAGAACTCTCATTTTCAGGTGATCACACTCTCATGAATATGTATTTTATTCGATTTCTGCTAACAGATCCCTCAAAATGCTACTCACTGTTCCTCCGATAGAAGCCGTTTGTGCTTTAATTGTTAAAAGTTTAAAAGATTCGGATAAAATCTTAATTTCCCAGACTTACGATCATGCCAGCCGGTTCCCTCAACTAAATTTCTTGAGGATAGAGGATGGTCAGTGCAATAAAAGTGTTTAGATGTTGACTATTACATCTTATCTACGGTGTGTGAACAGCACCCACTATTCAGGCTTTTGGCATCTGGGTCCTCAGCATTGATAGCGATGACCTTCCAGTCCATTTCCCCCTCATCGATCATGGCCAAGATGCCAAGAACTTTCACTTGGATCACCTGACCTGGAAAGCACACCTGAAGAATAGACCAGCGAATTACTACTCAACAGTCAAAGGAATCTCCAGAAGTCTGTATAAAGTCCTACCCGGGTGCCACACGTCCTACCTGGGTCCCGATCTCACACACGTCAATGGGATCGTTGTCCCCACAACACTTTGTCTCTTTGTCTGTATGGTTTGGGTCCTCCCACGTCTTTTCCAAGGAGCAGTTCAGAAACATGTAAGAAAATACGAAAATTCCAGAAACAATTTCAACTGACTTCCTGACTTGAAGTTATTTGATGAAAACTAAATGAATCTTTCAACGGAATCGTTGTTATTTGTTATTCACAGACAAAAGAGAAGTCTGAGTGGCTGATTTCATTCGGTGGATTTCCTCACCTGTGGGAGCGCCCCGTAGTTCCAAATGTAACCTTTATGGGGAAATATGTTGGCGACATACCGGAGTTTTCCTTTCTTAACATCTTGTTTGATCGGGTTCAGTGGTTCCTTAGTTGCAATCTGGGAATTGGGACAGTTACGAAGTTTATTTTTATATGAGAGTACATGCAAAATGCAGGAAAAAGGCAAGAAACCGGACGCTCAGTTTAGACTTTTTAGGTCAAGCTATTTCTTGGTGACAGTAAGTCGGGTATTGTTTTATATAATTAATTAAATAATACATAAAATAGGTGCAGGCCTCTGCAATGCTAACTGCTAACAGTGCATCATGGGCTATCATTGAATGAAAACTGACGCACCGCTTCACTTAAACATGTGTTTTTAAAAGCATAGTCATAGACATTTGTTACATGTAAAATAATAAAATATATTACACTACATTACATGTCATTTAGCTGACGCTTTTATCCAAAGCAACTTACAATAAGTGCATTTCAACCATAGAGAGACAAACTCAGAAGAGCAAGAAACAAGAAAGTGCAGTTTCAACAAACTTCCAATTTCATGTTATTTAAAATACAAAAGTGAGGTGCTATTCCATTTATAGCCTTGTTACCTCCATTTTAGCATTTGACCATCGAGGCACCTCCACGACCATGTTAAAGAGCACCTGGAAGTACAACAGAAAGCTTTGTTTAATATGTAAAGAACACTATTTCAGGTGGTACAAGTGACATTACATCTTGGTATGTGACAGTACCTCACTCTCATTCTTCTTGGCCTTTTTGGTTGGCATGTCATTTTCCTGTTGAAAGAAAAGAGATAGGAATATGATCTTTGCACTGTTAAATAATATGTATACAGAATCAAACAGAACAAAATTAACACTTCTGCTATTGCTACCTGTTCATTCTCCGCTATAAGCGAGATGTCATGGAATGGTGAAATATATTTTCCTTCAGGAGTTTCTAAAGAAAAAAAAAAAAAAAGGACATCTTTTCACAAATGAAACATTCTCACATAAAAACCTGTGCTTTCAGTCACACCTCTCGGTCTCCAATTGTCACTGATTAAAGTCGACCAAAGTCATCCAATAAGGAATGCTGTGATCAACCAATTCATGGGGAGTTATTTTCTCGTCAATTACAACTTGCGCCCTTACTGAGGTTTTATTTGTCATGCGGCTACTTTTTTTCTTGGTTAAAAAAAAATAGGGCCACAAACAGAACAATGTGATATTGGATTATGTAAACATTAAGCTGAATAATATTGGTATGCCTGGAACGGAATGGCTCAGCATTTGCATCTCAATGTAGAGAGCGCAACATCATCTGAAACAGATTTATTACCAGTTCATCCCAAAGGATTAATTGTGTGTAGACAATCACGTGATCACCCAAACCGGAAGTTGTTTGATACTTTGCCACCTTACAGGAAAATTCACTCTTAAAGCTGTGCAGAAGAAGCACCATGTGGAGAAATAACCCCCCCCGGCTAGTAACTCAAAGGTCACGCGTTTCCCCGGAGGTCGACCCTCGGTCCTCCGGTCCACACCGGGTCCTGGTGCTGAACCGTTACCCCGTGCAGTGCAGAGGCCACACGGGTCCCTCCGACGGTGGCGATGATGAACTTACTAAAATAAACGCGGTAGTCGGGAGAACCGGGACGTCCTCTCGCCTCCGTCTGATAGTGCATCGTGTTTGTCAAGTGAAGCAGACGAGGACCCGCAGCTGCTCGGGGGACCAGTTTGTTTCGAGACGCAGAAAACGAGCCGAGAACTGTCGCCAAGCAGCCGGGTGGACAGCGCAGCAGCAGCGGTCTCATTTCTGTCTTCCTTCGGGTTCCGGTTTCCCGTTTTCCGGCCTGCGCGCGCCGCGTTCAGCGTGCGTGACGTCCGGCGCGGTGGAAGGGAAGCTTCCGGAGAGGTGTTTTCAGAGTAAAAGCATTTACAGTGAAAGTCAATTCATTTCACAATGTTTCCATTGCATGCTCGTGATCAAGCAACTCACGGCCGTCTGGCAGTATAGCCGGATTTGTTGCCAAATGTAACAATGCATGTTATTAAAATACAACATCTCTCTTGAAAAATCTAAACACAAATCCTCTGGAACTTAAAATTGTGCTGTGATCAGTTAAAATGTCGGAACTTAAAGGTGGTGGGCCACACTCTGGCGCTAACAGAGGCCTAAATTCATAAATGTACCGTTTTGTTACTCCGCACCGCATTAGCAAGTGAGGCTATGAATAACTTTTCATAGTTAAATAGTTACAGTCTAATGTCTCCTACTAAACATTACCATCCTCACTGGCGACAAACTATTGCACAAGAGGTTTTCTTGTGCAATAGTCAGAATAGATATATGGAAATTCTTAATTTAGGTGGTTTGCACCTTTTAATCCTTGTTGTAACTTTGTTTCCTGCTTTTTTCTATTTCTTTATCTTTTTATCACACAGCTGACAGAGTTAAAAATGTGCACTATAGTTACTTCAAATAAAAGAAGAGCCCGCACAAGAAGTAGACCTTTTGTCATTAACATAGTTAAATGCAGAACGTGGACCTTTTCCCCACATTCAATAACTAAGTGTAGTTAGAACAACCATTCAGGCCACTGTTGCTTTTGCTTTAATGTCCCACCGCTTTTGTATTTTACGATATGAAGTTAATGGATGTGATGGTTATCTGCACAATACATCATGGGATCAAAGTCCGTATGTATCCATTGTGTCATAAACAAACATCCAGCCGCGCAATCTTGATAGCGGCCGTACAAAGTGCCTCGCTTTTGAGTCATCCCAGTACAAAAATCCTACTGATTCAATTTGTGTTGGTTTATGTGTGTCAGTTGAGGGGACAGTTGTATAAGGTTTATTTTTCCTTTGTGAATGCAATGTGATTAATACTAAAAATTTATTTAACTCTGTACGGATTTTGAAAAAAAAAACGGATGGAGAGCTAAATGAGAAGAATGTTCCCTTCTTCCATTCCTGTGGCCATAAGCAAAGCCCTGCACCAAGACTCGTCCATCGACGGCGCCCAAGTGGCCGGCAGTAAGAGCGCTTGGCTGTAAAAGGCAGTTTGAGTGAGTTCTCATTTTGCCTCTCTCTGTTCCTTCCCCTGCCTCGCTCTTGCAGCTGTACTTTTCCCATCTGCTGCGGACACCATAAGGATCTCTTTGTTGCTATTTCTCACCAAACAATGAGACAATACTTTTGTCTCTCTGTTGGCTGACAACACAAACGTAGTGGTCAGAATTGTTTTAAAACCGCAGCTTACAATACGGACAATTTATCTCTCTCTTATCTCTCTATTTCAAACTAGACACATCAACTGGACTATGTTGTAGAATTGGTCATTTGAAGTACAATGAAACAAATTTGTAAACCAACCTTTTGAATTAACTGATTAACATGAAATTAATTGGCACTGGATTTCAGCAGATTCATTTTGAAATAAAAAAAAGGTAGATTAATTTATATGAAAAATGGAAATATATATATTTAATGACGTGTTTCAGGTGTGGGAGAGAGCAGGGCAAGAAAAGCCTCAGTGACAAAATGTCCTTCAGGGGAACAAAATACCCTCAGCGCTCATGATATAACGTTGTTTACTCACCTTCATGTTTGTACAGAGAATGTGATCGTTCAGTGTGGCTTACCAAGTCCACCTTGTTACGTAATATGCTAACAGGAACATTTGCTGTTGGCACAACATATAACTGTGCTTGTTATCCTGAGAATTCATTAATGACTAAGTTGTTTAATTCTTGAGTTTTTCCTACACATTGAAGATGATTGCAATGAAATGATACACAGTCTCAGTCTGATGACCTGCTAGTTGGTTGGAAGTTAAACAGGTGTGCTATGAGCGCGGTGCACAGATCTGAAAACACAATGGGTGTGTTAAGTACGTGTGCTTTTAACGGGGAAGATATGCATCCATTCATTCATTGTTCTGACGAGGAAGGCAGTATCCGGTTGCTATGACCAGACATGATTACGGCAGCATGTATGTTGATGGATTACCTCTCTAACCACATTGATGAGTGTAACTGTAAAGGGTTTTATAGAGAAACAAAGAGTAGAAAATACTTTGTGTTGTAATAAGACAATGTGTGTTATTACAGTTTGACAAACAACTTAGTTGTTTCAAAAGCAAAAAATAAATAAATCAAACATGTCATGTGAATAACTTTGTGTGATGCTGCTGTTATGGCAATATAGATTGCGTAAGTAGAGGGTGTATTTTTATTCACTTCATTTGCTTCTTCCTACAGTTAAAGAATAGAGTGTGAATGAAATGTTCAACTTACTTGATTTGGAATGAAATTGTTCTTTGTTTCTCTGCAATGGTAAGTTTCATTTACATGATATACAACGCCCCGGGTCATTTACAAAAGTGTGTTTATCTAAAAAGAGGCCGAGATGCACCTGAAATGCATTTTTCTGGGAGTTTGTTTGAGATATTTGGTGAATTAAAACTAAATTCTAATTGTCCGTGTTCAGTTCTCGCTGGGGTAAGCAGACCCGTGAGGTCAGGAGGGTTCATAGTGTTGCAGGCGAGGGAATAAGCATTGCACTGCAGCGGAGAGGTGTGGCCACATGGTTCTCATGACAGGCGGGCAGGGAGGAGCTAACTCACCTGTGCACAGCCGACAGTCAGTGCACAGTGAACACTGCACCTGTTGCACTTCCCGGGCTCCCTCCCTCCCTCTCTCTCTCCCTCTCTGTTTCTTTCTCCCTCTTCCTGTCCCTTCTCTCTTGCCCTTTTTTTTTCATCTCCTTGATCGCTCTAAAAAGAGCCGAAGGCCTCATCATGGACCCCAATGAGGCCAGCGGGGGTGAGAAGGAAAAGGAGAAAGTGATAAAGAGGAGGAACCGGCCCGTGTTCCTGCGTTACCTGGAGAGGAGGAAGACGGACACTATTGTGGCCGAAGACTCGGTCAAATGGGACATCAACCTCGGGACGCTGGTGAGGAGGAGTCAGTCCGACAAGACGGAATACAGCGCTAAACTTAAAGGTACACCACCCAATGACCTCCCTCGGGGTCAAAACTATGGCAACAATCTACAAACACGTGAGCCGACGCTCAGCGTGGGAAGTGAAAACTTGTTGATAACATTTTAGTGAAATGTCTCCGCTATAGATGGAATTTAAGAGGTGGGAATATTTGTTTTAACAAGCAGTTGAGAGAAATACAAATAGAGGTTACAAGCCATGATGCATGCAGTCATTGAATTATCCCAGGTCACAACAGTGTCAGCGCTGCATACAGATCAGGCCCTGCTCTATAGCTCTGGATACTGGGCACCTGTTGTGTTACTATGTGCTGAGCAGGAGATACTCCCGAAGGGATGCAGCCACATATGCAAACCGTGCTCCAAACTCGGGCACAGAGGAGTGGCTTTAAAAGTGTTTCTAGACCAGCAGGTAAACAAGACGGAGGCAGCGGTGACGCACGGCGACGGAGGTTCACTGCCCATGTTTAATCGAAACAAACCTCCAAGTGACGTCTGAGGATTGACATTACACTTTGGTCAACATTGAATATGACTAAACAATTTGCATTGATTGATGTGAGGACTAGTAATGATGGAGAGTTAGTTGCGATACAAAAAAAAACAATGGCTAACCCGCCTGTGTGTTAACTCATCACATCACTGCTGATCTGATGTTTTCACTGACACACACACAAACATGTGCACATTACGGAAAAACACGATGGCTTCACCTTGGGACTGGGAATCTTGCACTTCAGGCAAAATGACTGACATCACATTACATCAGATTAGCATAAGTATGTCGGCTTTCCTGTGCCACTCGTTCCTGAGTTTTCCTTTCTTGTGAACCATTCACACCACATGCCAATGTGATTACGGACGCATTGTTTAAAATAGCTTACAACTTACTTCCCACTTGGTTTCTGCACTGATAAGACAGACACACCCACACCCACACACACACACACACACACACACACACACACACACACACAAAATTGCCATATCACCATTTGCTCTGTTTACATTAAATGGAGACACTCTGTTCTCCTTTCCACTTTCTGTATTCATGACCAACCTGCAAAAGACCATGCAGGGTTGTCGAATAACATCGGGGGTGTTTTCAGTAAACCAATCAGCTGCTCTATTTGACTTGAGCCTCACAGCTGACAAGCTGCATTACATATTTACAGTGCTATTGCCATTGCAAATATTGACAGAACGATGACTTCACTGCAAGAGGAAACACGTGAGTTGCTGCTCGACATCTGCTTGTCAGACAGGTTGGGCGAGCCGCAGAACCATGGCAACATGACATCACCATGTCTGACTGTTTACAGTGGCTAAATGTGATGCTTTTATTATTATTATTATTAACCAGCACAAAATTCACAAGAAGTAAAAGTACTGAACTAAGTTAGGTGATACGTCACGCATAGAACATGTTACTTTGACATGGGTATATTGTATGAGGACTTGAATGTTTCTCATTCTGTGTGTGTGTCACCTTTTAGACTTTTTTTGTATTTTACGAATTTTCTCAAAAAAGACACCATGAACATAATTTCTTTGAATGAATTATCTTAATGAATCATTTTTGTAGCCAATTTCAGTATTTCTTCAATGTGACTGTATGTTTTACACAACATATTCTCAGTATTTCTTCAATGTGACTGCACGTTATACACAACATATTCTCAGTATTCTCAGTGATAGATTTCCCATTGTGCACCTCGCGATGTGGCAAAGTCAGGCGTGTCGTTTTCCCTGCTGGCGACACGTGATACACTGGGCCTTGTATTCTGTTCTGCAGCCGTCTATTAGATTCCATTCAATGAACTGAACAGTGAAAAGCCTTGT